GGATGGGTGTCAGCTTGTTGACTACAGCTTGCACCTCAGGTGGCAATGAGGTCATGTGGGTCTTGAGGATGTCAGTCAGGCCTGGTTCCTCTTGTGGTTGGGGCCCCAGGCCAAGGGCCTGCAGCTTGGTCTGGATGGTGTCAGGAATGACATCCCCGTGAGGACCTCTGCTGCCTGCTGTTGATCCTTGGGTCGACGTAGTGGCCTGGGTCGGTTCAGCCCTGGCGGTGTGTCCATGAGGGCTTGTTGGTATGTTGTTCGTGGCCAGGGTGTCGTTGTGGTCTTGGGTCGAGTGCTGTGACCCTGTCCTTTGCCTTTACCATTGGACTTGTTGATGACCCACCATGTACCGCATTTCCGACATCGGTTGCCACTTTGGACTTTGTCTTGCCAAATCCAGTTTGTGCAACTGTTCTTGGTGCATACCTGATAGGCACGGCGCCAGCTTGTGGTCATAGTGCCTGATGAAGCAGTTCTCAAGGAACTTGATATAGGCTTGGTTGTGGGTGTGGAGCTTGGCACCGGTCCCGATCAGGCTGAAGTGATCCACTTTGTTGTAGTTCCAGTCTCCTGGAGGTCCTCAGTGAAAATGCCAGGCGAGAACAGCCGGCCACCAAAGATCTCAACAGGAGCGGCCAAGGAGAGGGCGGATATTGCGAGCAAAGAATGTGTGGTAATTGGAGATCTCGAGGATCGAGGTCAGGTGGTACTCTTTGCTATGTTCGAACGGGCTTTCCGCACTGGCAGGACTTTGTGGGGTGCCTGCTTGATCTTGAGCCAAATGCATGCATGCGCGCATGTATGTATGAATGTATGTACGAATGTATTAATTTGATGTATTGTAATGTAGTGTAGTGTAGTGTATATCTGTAATGTATGGTACGTACATGTTACACATGTTATGTTATGTTATGAAATGTTATGTCATGTTATGTTATGCATTGTTATGTAATGTAATGTGATATGTTGTGTTGTGTTATGTTATGTTATAGTATGTATATTACTTTATGTTATGTTATGTTTTAGTATGTATGTATGTTATACTATGTACTGTACTGTACTGTAATGTAATGTAATGTTGACGTGCTTTGTAACAAACCACTGTAACAGCCTCTAGCTTCCTTCAGATGTTGTCTCATGTCCGACAGGCGCCTTGAGTGTTCGAAACAAAACGTATCGACCGTCTTGCTGTGCGACGGTGTAGCATTCATTTCCTGGTTGATGTTTGGTTGTGTTTTCAGCTGACCCCGCATCTCCAGCTTCCACTGAGCAATCAGTGGTAGCGGAGCTCTGCGGAGGTCCAGCGCGCCATGGTTGACCCTTGGTTGAATCCTGCTGGTGATCCCTGGAGGCATTACTCTCCCGCCTTTTCGTCTGGGTCGAATCCTTGTTTGAGTTCCTTTGCAACGCATGCTGCGCAGGGCACTTCGGTTCCGACCGGTCTTTGTGGACGCTGCTTGGGAACAGGCACTGCGGGTGATCGTAGAACTCCTCAGAGCTATTCGATGCCTTTCATGAGCCCAATCCCTCAAGGCCCACAGATGGGCTTTGGACCTATGCCCCAACAGGCTCCAGGTGTCCCTTCTCAAGGAATGGCGCCCCAGAGTCAGTTGGGAACCAGTCAAAACGCTGGCGACTATGCCGGGGTGGCTGGAAACTTGTTGAATCGTTTAGATGCAACAACCATGAACACCAGTCCTAGACCTGTAGCAAGTGCCTTTGATCTTTTTGGAAAGCCTGCCAACTCAAGCTTTGCTGGAAGTCACCATCAGGCACCTGCGACAGCACAACAACAGAATGAACTTATGTTGAAGGCTCTCACTGCCGCTTTGAGTGGAGACAAGAAATCATTGCCTTCTTGGAGCGGTGGTGTTGAGTCGCTTCGACCTTGGCTTCGACAGTTGTCGTACTGGGAACTAGACAACAATGTTCCCAAGGCTCGATGGGGAATCAAGCTCCTCCAATCGTTTTCTGAGAACAGTGCTCCAAGGAAGATCGCGGAGACAATCGACCTGTCCATTGTTCTTTCTGAAGCTGGATATGGAGCCATACTCGCCGAGATCATGGCCAAGTACGGCCCCTACTTGGAGGCCATCGGGCCTGCCGCAATAGATCAGTTCTTTTATGGTTTGGAACGGTCTCGCACTGAAAGTTTTAGCAATTACATTGCATCTCGTGAAATAGCGCTGCAAGAGTTGGAAGCACAGTTGGGAGAAAAAGTTCCACCTCGCATTGCTGGTCGAGTGTTGTTGCGTGGTGCAAACCTCACAGAGCAACAGCGTGAGAACTTGGCAATCAAATACCACGCATTGTTGACACTTGATGAGGTTGCCCGGGCACTACGTCCACTAGATCGACCAGAAGCATTGGTGAACAAAGTGAACAAAGCCCTCCTCATGCATCGTGAACCTGAAAAGGAAACCACCGCTGAAGTCTCACCGGACGAAAACGAAGAAGAGCTGGTTGAGGATTCAGAGGAGGATGAGCCGGAGTCAGACGGCGAAGGCAACTTGACTTTCCTGCTGTTTGACCAGAACCGTGAATACACAGAGGAAGAAACGCAATACATCTGGGCCTACAACTCTGCATACCGGGATGTGCGAAAGGACCTAGCTCGGAAGAAGGGTCGAAACTTTTCCAAGCCGAAAGAGACCAAGAACAGAGGGGGCGCAGGCCGCAGGGCAGCCGGGGCACCATCAACCGTACCTTCTTTGGCGTGTGTTTGGAGCCTGATTCGTTGAGCTTCGGTACAAAACCGGAAAACGTGGACGATCCCTTCGATACAAAACCGGAATTCGAAACAGTGGAACATGATGAGAAGAGTTGCATTGAACATGGTGTTGAGCAACATTGTGTGGAACAGCAAGTCGAGCATTGTGTCGAGCGCGCAGTGTTTGTCAATGTTGCAGACCAACTGCAAAAGACAATCACAGCTTTTGCAGGAGTGCGTGTTGATGGCCGCGAGGCTATAGTTGACACAGCCGCAGAAGAAGCCGTTATTGGCTCTGGTGCTTTTTCACGACTGCGCACTTCTCTGGAGCGTTTTGGTTTGCGACCGGCATCAGCTTCTGGTGCCACGGTGAGCTGCTCTGGCATTGGCGGTTCCGCCAAGATTGCTGGTGTATGGGACATTCCCATTGGGGTGGCTCGCACCAATGGATTGATCAGAGCCACCGAAGTGGAAGACAATGGATCATTCGAGACGCCGTCCAGTGGAGTGAGGCCAATGCGCGAACGAGCGCGAACCCCCACAAGTCCCGGAGGCCCAGGAGCAGTTCGAAACCCACTCCAGCGGAGACGAAGCAGTGGAGTTGATCTCATGGGGCAGCAGCATGACACCGACCCCGTCGAGCCCCGTCGAGCCCAGGCGGGTCACCTTCGAAGAACTGAATGAGAGCACATCAGCAGCGGCCCCACCTAAAGGAATGAAGACTATAAACTCCCAGGCAAAACCCCGGAAGTCAGCAAAGGCCGCTATGCTGTCAGTGATGGTCATCACCAGTGCCTTTTCAGGAACTCAGTCATTTTTGTCTAGCTTGGGAACGGTGGCAGTGAGCTAAGCTTTTTCACCACCAAAACTATTCAACTCACAACAAGTACAATTGAAATGGGCTGCGCAGATTTTGAGGGAGACACCAGACTCATGACAAAGAGCGACCGAGCCATTTTGGCAAGCTCATTGAGAAACTACCTCGACCTACTGTGTATAGCCCTCCTCGTTTGGTTCCGGCAGCGCAACGGGCTGGTTTGAAAGCCCGTCTCTCTATGGATTTGTCCACAGGCTATGACTTCCGAAAGCCTGAGGGCCTGAAAAGATCACGGCAAGAACTGAAACAACGAAGGCCAGCAGTGCTTTTGGCTTGCCCCCCATGCAGAACACTCTCTCCTCTAAGAGGCCTCTCCAACTACAAGCGAGATGCTAAGGTGGTTCGAGAGGAAGAGCAAGAAGGGGAAGCCTATTTGGAACATGCACTGGACGCCATTGAGTTTCAATTGAGCCATGGTAGAGGATTTTTGTTTGAACGCCCCTGGACCTCGCAAGCCTGGAAACACCCCAGAGTCATCCAGCTGCTCGAAAGAAAAGATATGTACATGATCCGAGTAGACATGTGTGCTTTTGGTCTCAAGGTTTGGAAAGGCCCCACGAAAGACCTTCTGGCGCAGAAGCCGACAGGATTGGTGTCAAACATCCCAGAGCTGCTTGAGTTCGTGGAGCAGCGTTGTTCCAAGGACCATCGACACGGCAAACTTTTGGGAGGCAACGCCGCCCATGCCCAGATATATCCTCCTTACTAAGTTCATTCAATCTTAAGGCATCAAACAGAGCCTTGGCATGGCTACGGACACCAAGAACAAAGATGAGCTCGGCCGAAAATCGGGCAGAGCCATTGGCGCAGTTTTGCACGCTTTTGCCAAGACCAACAATGAGATTGAAGAAGATGCGTGTCAAATAGAGCAAGGGGGATCGTTCGAGCGCCTAATAGTCGGGCTTGGTGGCTCGCGCCCGACAGCCGACGTCCCTCCGATGAAGAGCGCCTCACAGTCTTCCCAAACATCCTCTTTGTTGGCGAATTCATCCTCGTTGCATCGATTGAGGCGGTTATCAAGTATGACATGCCCCAAGCTTTCGTCACCTACCCTCGGCCTCAAGTCTTTCTTTGGAATCTGGGAGATGTGAGCGCCGAAGGTCAGCCTAGCAATCGCCTTGGCCCCAATTAACAGTATTCATATGTGTATATATATATATGTAGATGCATATGTACACACACATATATATATATACATACGTGCACGGCCATGTGTATGTGCGTATATGTACATGTGTTTGTATGGATGGATGGATGTATGGATGTATGTATGGATGTGTGTATGTATGTATGGATGGATGGATGGATGCATGCGTGTATGAATGTATGTATGTATGTATGTGTGTATGTATGTATGTACGTATGTACCTATGTACGTAGGTAGGTAGGTATGTATGTATGTGCCACGCTGAGGTCTGGTGGAGGATGCAACAATCGTTGTGGAATCTACAAGGGCTCTTGGTGCTTGATGGAATCCTTTTCGGAGGTTTCATTCTAGGAGTGGAGCGGGCAATTCGTGGGAAATTCAATCTGGTTTTCCGGTTTCAGACCTCCAGGATGGAGAAGAGAGCACACAGTGGAGGTCACAGCCGATTTGTTTTTGCTGGTGTTTCTTGAGCAGTTCCCTGCAGGCTCTTCTGGACGTGTTGCAAGCTGCCAAGATCATTTTTCCGCTTTGGGTTCGAAACTTACCAGAGCATTGTGTGACAACAGTTGGTGATCTAAGCCGAAAATCGCAGCCTTTGTAGTGTTTACAGAGCTGACTTTGAGAGAACTGTCATGGAGTGCTGAGGTCCTTGCGCCACTGCTGCAGACTTTGACCAGAAGCTGGAGTTCGGGGCCGCAGAAAGAGTGTGATGATCGACAGTTTAACACCAAGAGCGCCGACCACTTGCGTTACTTGGGGAGGATTTGCACAGGGCGCTAATTGCATGAGCACCAGTTGTTTGAATGACAACCAATGCTTGGACTTGCAATGATTTGCAGCTGGGATCATGGTGGTTTTTTCAGCTCACTTTTGCTTAGCGTAGGCATGTGTGTGCTGCTGGTGGGTCAAGTCTGACCAGGAGTTGCTTTGAATGCTGCGCTGCACACATCAAGATTTGCTAAGGTGATGACACAATCGCTGCCATTGCTAGCATCCTTTTGGTGTTGCACGTGGCTTCCTTTCGCTACAAGGATATTCAGTGTGGCTTTCAGATTGCTTGCGCACAAACATGCAAGGAGTTCCAACCTTGCTGTAAACATTCGCATCTCCAGGATTCTCCGGTTTTGTCTCAGGGTTCAGCATCAACAGCTGCCAGTCCTGGGGCTGTGCGCTCTTTGCCGGCCTGGCACGTGGGTGAGATTCACACACAAATTTCAAAGCTATAGACCCGCCATGACCCACTACACTCCCTGATTTTTCTTTGCGCTGCCAGCCACAGCGAGTGTGAACAAGTTGTTGTCAGGGCTGGTGGCCCAACTGCCTTGAATGCGGCAATGCTTGCGGCAACCATCCTCGCCTCGCGCCTGCTGACTGCTCAAGAGGTCGGGATTAACGTAAAGATACGTAGAGCCTCAAAGCCTATCAGAACTCAGGTCAGGGATTTCAGAAAGAGTTTTGCGATGTTTTGCGCGATTATTTAGTCATGATTTTTTTGATTTTAGGGGAGTGGGGTCCAGAGTGGCTAGGGTAGCAAAGAAACACAAGACTCGAAAACGGGCTGCCAGACTTCTTTTAGGTTTGTTGTCCCTTCAAATTTCGCAAATATTTCCGAAAGCCAGCCGAAAGGCCCTTAGGCCAGGCTGAAATTCAAGGGGGTCGAAAAAGGACTGCTGTGCTCTGGGCGGGAGGGCAAAAGGGCCAGCGAGATTTAGCGGTGTGACGGGCATTGGTGATGCGAGTGGTGCCGCCGCAACTGATAATATCACTTTTTGCGCAATCAACTAGGCATGATGTAATCTTTTGGAGTGTTGCCAGTTCCAGAAAACATTTTATTTTTGATTATTGCTGACTTACAGTATTTTCGTTTATGTTCGAGTCAATCTATGTGTGCACTAAGCCGTGCGTGAAAGAAAAGATAGCGTGATTTACTGAGATCTAGACGCAGAGAGCCGAAGAAATGCTCGTAAGCTGCACTTTTCGGGTGTTGCCTTTTTGTTGTGTTTGGGGGCTGTCTCGGGGCAAAAAGGGCACCTCTGAGAAATTGGATGCTAGCGCCGAGTTTCCTGGAATATACCTTAAGGAGGAGGGCCATCTTGCGGAAAAAACAAGTACTTCCCGAGAAGTAGTGACACGGCCCTTGACGAAGCAGGACACAGCTAGAATGAAGATGCAGATAGGTAAAGGCGCGTTGTTTTACTTTTAAAGACACCAGATGCAGAGAGTCGAAGCCATATTTCTGGTTTGACGCGTCCGTTTTGGAGCGCAAAAGAAGGGCGCCTCTCAGAAAGCGGGTGCTAGCGCCACATTTTTCCAGAAAGCAACTTCAGGATGAAGTTTTGTATAGTTTTGTTGGTGCTGTTTTGAGCTTTGTTTGAAGGCTGTCTTGGGGCAAAACGGGGCAGTTCCGAAAAGCAGGCTCTAGCGATAAGACCCTGGACAAGGCAGGGCTTGGCAGATGCACCTTGGAGGGTTTTAAGGAAGGCTGGCTTTCGTCCCATCATTTCTCAGGTTCATTTCGGTTGGCAGAGATCATTTTGTGGCGTTTAAACTCAAGAGAGCTTTTGGGTCACTGCTGTGATTTTTGGCAGTAAAGCATGTGTTGGTTTGTAATGTGGTGTTGCCGGAGTGTTGCCTTGACTGATCATTGATATTTGACATCACGTGTCACACTTGCTCACAGCATCGTACTGTTTACAGTACTTGCTTTGGCCTGCTTGCCGGGCTGCTTTGGACTAGGCTGCAAGTGATGAGAGGTAGCGCCAACTCTTTGAATCATTTACTCTAAGTTGGAAACGTCGGTTGCCCAAAACATGACATCCGTCCATGTTTTCTTATCAATTGACTTTCATTTTGCCTCATCTTCCGGCCCGACGCGTTCTCATTCTCATCTCACGTCATCTCCTTCAAATCACTTTGCCCAATACCCCAAGATGTGGAAGTTGATGCGTTTTGATAAATTGTGTGTCCCAGCTTGGCGATAAATTTTGGGAAGTCGCTGCAATGTTGCCTCCTGCTGGTGTTTAACAGATTTGATGTTTTTCACGAGGTGACTTTGCCACGCAGCAAAGTGTGCACCAGAAATCCAAGAAAGCCGCCACTAGGTTGCAAACTGGTTGTCGCAAAGCGGGAACTGTTGAGGTTTTTACTTCAAATAGAGGAAGAGGTACCTGTGTGGCTTTGGAGCCTGGCTTTGTGTGCGCTTTGGAGCCTGCTGTTGCTGCTGCTTGTCTGCTTGTCTGCTTCCTCTACTGCTTGTTTGCTGCTGCTGCTGCTTGTTTGCTGCTTGTCTGCTGCTTGTCCGCTGCTGCTTGTTTGCCGCTGCTGCTTGTGTGCTGCTGCTTGTGTGCTGCTGCTGCTGCTGCTTGTGTGCTGCTGGTCTGCTGCTGCTCCTACTGCTGCTGCTGCTGCTTGTCTGCTGCTTGTCTGCTGCTTGTCTGCTTTTGCTGCTGCTGCTGCTGCTTGTTTGCTGCTTGTTTGCTGCTTGTTTGCTGCTTGTCTGCTGCTGCAGTTGCTGCTGCTTGTTTGCTGCTGATGGTGTTTTACATTTTCTTGCATTGACTTGTTTGACGTCCTGAATGCGCGGCGTCTCATGGGGAACTGGTATGGTTTCTGGGATTGCATTGACTTCTGCGGGCCGGTGTATGATTTCGCCTCATAGGTAAGATGTCAGAAATCCATGGAGCAACAGTCAGTTAGACATGTGTGCATGACCATAAGGTACTCCATAAGGTTTACGAACGATTGGCCATAAAGGCCCAAGCCCAGTTTGCGGAAAAGCGCACCGCGCCGTTTCATGGTAGCGGAGCCCTGGTCGTAAAGCACCGGGGCTCCGCCACCTACGCTGCACCACGAGCACCACGAAGAGCTCAGGCTCCACGACGCGAAGGAGGACGGCTCGATCCAGGGGTGGTGCATCCTTCAGCTCGATTTGGACCCTCGAGCTTCTTCTGCTGGCCGGGTCAGGAGGTGTTGGCACAGCAACATCTCAGGAGGTTCAGTACTACCAGCCAAACTCCATCCTGCCCTTGACCGGCAAGACGCGAGTGAGGAGGATCCACACCTTGGTGGTGGAGACTGAGGAGCACCCGAGCAAGATCAAGTGGATTAGGAGTGAGAAGATTGCAAGGGCCTCTATCGTGGTGGCCAAGAAAGAGGACCAGTCTGAGCTGAAAGAGGTGATTGTTGTGGTGCCAGCAAAGTGGAAGTTTGCGCAGCGCATTGAGGCACTGAGGGACACGACAGGAGAGGACGAGTTGAGTGAGCTGGTTTACAACTGGCGATTCTCGGACATCCCGGCCTACGCAGGGCTGGTATTTGGGACACCGACACCCCTTGCACCTGTGGAGACGAAGACATTCATCCCCAAGGTCTTCGGGTTGAAGTCAATGGCTGAGGAGAGTTTGAGGCAGGTGGCAACAGCCTTGGAGAAGTTGGCGCTGAACCAGTCTGCACAAGGTTGGGCGCGGCATCTAAAAGCACCGGATGTCTTCAAGCCCGACGGAAGAGATGCAGAGTTGAAGCTATGGGGAGACTGGAAGTTTGGTTTCCTCAACCATGTGAAGGGACTCGATCCCTCGATGGCGGCCAGCATGGACATGGTCGAGAGCAATGTGGACGCCAACTACAACTTCGAGGACATGACCGATGAGACGAAGGCAAAGGCCGTGACACTTTACAGCCTGTTGACTTCGTATGTGAGGCAGCGGCCACTGAAGTTGATTCGCCATGTAAAGAGTGAAAATGGGTTTGAGGCATGGCAGAGCTTGTTGAAGGAGATGCAGCCGGCGACGAGGGCCAGGTCACTAGCCCTCTTGAGCCAGCTAGCCCGCATTCAATTTGCGGAAGGAAAGACGGTGTCTGAGCAGCTACCGCAGTTTGAGGCTTTGGTCTTGGAGTATGAGCGCATCTCAGCCCAGAAGTACTCAGATGATGCCAAAGTGGCGTCCATCCTGCTGGCATGCCCTTTGCAGATCCGCCGACATTTACATCTTTGGCTCACAGGTACAACAACCTATGAGCAACTCAAAGACAGGATCACCCAGCTTGAGGCGGTGACGACAAAGTGGGATTCTTCAAATTCCCTGATGCCTCCCACTAGGACCACCGGTGATGAGGCAACCCCAAGGGAAGTGGACTACATTGGGAAAGTTGGCGAAGGCAAAAAGGGCCTGAGAAGGAAAGGCAAAGACAAAGGCAAGGAGAGAGGAAAGTATGGCAGTAAGGAGGCCTGTCACAAGTGTGGCAAAACAGGCCATTTCGCCCGAGATTGCTGGAAGCGAGTAAATCAAGTGGAGGAACAGCAGAACCCGGGGGGAGGAGCGAGCTCATCATCCACAGGCATTGCTGGAAGCACTACAGCTACGGCCTCAGTCAAGATGGTGAGATTGCAGACGCCGCCTGACGCTCCATCGCTTGAAGTCTTTGACCTTACTACGCCTAGGGGAGAACAAGGTGACAACTTCCCACGGCGTGTGGGAATGGTGTCAATCGAGCTCTATGAGGTGGAAGAGTTCTATGAGGCTGAAGAGTCCGAGTACCAGGACTGTCATGAGCCTGCGGTGGAAGTGCCAAGTGATGTGGCTATAGTGGCCATGGATCTGCAGGACGTTGAGGAGAAGGAGCTGACCGTGAACATGGTGAGGAGACAAGACCATGAAGAAGTTGGAAGCTGTCTGATCACGGTAGACAGCGGGGCAGACATCTCTGTACTGCCAAAGGACTATGCCGGTGTGGGAGAACGACAAGAAGACTTTGCTCTTGGCAGTGTGCAACACCCAATACTATGCGCAGGAAAGCTACTGAAGAGTGGATGGTCATTGGGTGAAGTGGAAGGAGGCCTGCGCCTCAGGCATGAAGGCCGCTCGGTGGACATCCCACTGAACATGGAGAGGAACTCATTGCAGTGCGAAGCGAGGATCTTCGCAGCGCATGAAATCGAAGAGCAAGTTCCTCAGAAGAAGACAAGTGAGGATGAAGAGGCTGCAGGAGTGCAAGTGCTACATGGCTACCTGAGTAAGTACGTCCAACATTTGGAGATGACTCCTGGATGGACAGACTGCCAAATGGAGTAGCAGTCTACAGCGACCCGGTAGCGACGCAACTGGTGGACCCCTCAGGCAGCATCGAGAAGATCTACAAAGCGAGAATGACGCTTGTCAAAGGGAGAGACGGATTTTGGGAGCAACTGGAGAAGACAGATGACTACAATCAGCTGGGGCCAAAGGCATTCCGCAAGATTAGCTTGGCAACAGAGCCCCAGAGGACTTTGAGCTTCTTCTCGCCTGAGCATTTCAAGGACTACTGGGAGCCCGGCAGTGAAGTACCAGTGGCACCATACCCTCAGACAGATGGAGCATTTGGGCACTTGGAATGGTCAGGGGACGAAGGTGAGGAGCTTGAGGAGCTGGAGGCACAGGAGATGTATCATGACGTTGAGAAGATGGTGGTGGCTGAACGACCGCATGAGGTAGAGTTGGACGAGGTCACCTTTTCAGAGAAGATGTCAGTGAAGGAGCTTCAGATGGCATGCAAAGAGCGACAACTGGCACATACCGGAAGCAAGAAGAAGCTGCTGGAAAGGTTGGTGGCTTTCAAGGTGAACCTCGAGAACCAGATGCACTTGGCAGTGGCAAAAAAAGCTCTACAACGAGCAGAGGAGAAGGCCGGTGACACTCGGTCAACCCAAACTCCCGAGCTTGGCTGAACAGGAGCTACACAATGTGACGCATTGGCCATTCGCCTCCTGGTGCCAAGCATGTGTAGCAAGTCGCTCAAAGGAAGATGAAGTCTGAGAACAAGGAGGACATCGGAAAGAACGTCATACAGATCGACTTCTGCTACACGTACACGGGAGAAGAAGACCGATGGGAGAAGCCAGTGCAAGACAAGGTTGTGGAGAGGCAGGACCAGCACGGAACAGTACTGGTGATGACCAGCTCTGAGACTAAGGCCATCCACGCAGTTCCAGTGCCGAGCAAAGGCAGTGCAAGCCTCAGAGGAGATCGTCAGATTTGCTCTGGAGAATTCTGCCCGGGACGCTTGCGTCGTCCAGGCTGACAGCGAGAGGGCAACCAGACAAACACTCAGGTCCGTGCAACAGGTCAGAAATGTGCTCGGCATGAAGACAGAGATTCGACTCACAGGAGCTGGACAACACGCCTCGAATGGTCAGGTTGAGCGGGCGGTACAAACAGTCAGAAAGATGGCAAACTGTTTGAGGTGGTATGCAGAAGACAAGGCCCGAATCAACATCGAGGGGGACCATGGTCGTTCAAGCACGCATCATTTCTGATCAGCAGATTCAGAGTGCTTGATGGGATCAGCCGGACAAGTTTCGAACTGGCCACAGGACACCCCTATCGTGGAAAGTTGGCTTTGTTTGGTGAAAGTGTGCTGTTCAAACGTCCAGTCAAGAACAAGGGCAGTGCAGTGTTTGAGAAGGGCGTGCGGGTGACAAAGCGCCCATGGAACGACAACCGCGTGTTGCTCTCCACAACAGGAGCCTACGAGTCAAGAACGATTCGAAGGTTGTCGCCTGAGGACAGCTTCAACGGCCCGGAGATCTTCACTGCAAAGGGACTGCCATGGAGCTACTCAGCACAAGGGATGCTGATGAAGCACGCCGGACAAGCACAAAGATACAGACAGCCAACATTGGAGATGGAGGCCAGTGAAGAGGAGCTGACAGCTATCGCTCAAGATGTGGCTACTGGTGTGGTCACACCTGCTCCAGGATGTCAACCCATGACGCCAGGGATCACACTGACCATGGCTGGACCATCAACAGCTGAGGCGCCAAGGACACCGACAAAGTCTGCAATGAAGAGGCAACTGTCTGAGGAGGAGAAGAGTGAAGGAGAACAAGAGAACAAGAAGCTTGGCGCATCAGATTCTCCGAGGAAACAAGCAGAGAAGAGGCAAGGAGAGGCAGCCGAGCTGAAAGTGTACCTCAACCAGAAGGAGATAGGATGAGGACAGAAGCCGAAGGATCTCCAAGAATGTCACCGTCACACAATACAGGGCATCTGTATCCTCCGCACTACGCAGGAGTTGGTGCGATTGGGGTAGAACCACATGGAGATGAAGATATAGATATGGAGCTGATGCCAGAGGATGTGCTTGAGGAGCAATTGATGGGATATGGTGGAGAAGAAGGGGATGACCCTCCTGAAGTGACTGAAGAGGAACTGGAGCTGCTCGACAAGGAAGCGCGCAATACAGAGATCCAGAGGATGCTGGCCTGCAATGATGGAAGCGCAGAAGACAGAAGTCGAGCAGGATGAGGGCTACATCATCAGCGCGAAGATGGTGATGCGCTGGAAACACCGTCTGGAGAAAGGAGGATGGTTTCGCAGGGCACGATTTGTAGCCAGACAGTTCAAGAACAGCATAGATCTGGGAGCCGCATTCGCTCCTACATCCATGATGATGCTGCCGAAAATGTTGACGCGCTATTTGCTGAATGTGAGGAGCGAGTTTGTGGTAGTCACTCTGGACATCAAAGATGCCTTTTTGATGGCAGCGCAGCCGGCTACAGTGAAGGCCTACATCCAGATTGAGGATCGCATCTATAAGTTGCTCAGATGCCTTCCAGGCCAGAGGACAGCCGCATCGCAGTTTGGCTTGTTTGCATCTGCGCGCAGGGACTTTGGAATGCAGCAAGACCTGATGCAGCCCACGCTGATGCTGATGAACAACCTCCTGTACCTCACTGTCCACGTGGACGATGTGTTCATGGTTGGACGAGAAGATAAAGCGGGGGAGCTGATTCAATACTTCAAGGAGGAGAAGCAGTGGAACGTGGAAGAGAAAGGCCCATTCCGACAAGGTGACAAGTTCTTCTACTTGAAGAGGCAATTCAATTTGGGCATGAGGCACTGTGACATAAGGTGCGACAGCAGTATGACAGCTTCGAAAAGGAGGTCGACATCTACTCCAGGTTTTACAGAAAGACCCCCTTGGATGCGAACTTCACGAAGAAGGATGATTCTGCAATGCTGGAGGGAGCTGAGATCACGAAGTACAGAAGCTTCGTGGGGCGGCTAATGTACATGGCTGGAGAACGACCGGATGCACAGTATGCCATTCAGTGCTTGGCACGCCACATGGCAAAGCCCACAAAGAATGCCCTGAAAAATGCTTGGCACACCTGCTCCTACCTTTTTGGGACAGGTGGATACGGAGTGAGACTTGAAGAAAGAAAGAAGGGCCAGTCGATGATGGACTTCAGAGAGATTGAGGAGGTGGAAGAAGCAGCTCAACACCTAGTGGAGGTCGTCACCGACTCAGACCGTGCAGGAAACAAGAACGACCGCAAATCAACGACCTCCATGCAAGTCTTCATTGATGGCAACCTCGTCGACAGTAAAGTCAGGAGCCAGAAAGCCAGGATCTACGGATCGGACTTTTGATGCTGCTAGCCACGATCAACAAAGTTGGAAGCACCCCAACCGAAGCGAAGGAATCTGAGGAGACAAGTTGGGTGTGGATGATGCTGTGCACACTTGCTTGCATCGGGGCCTTGAGCCTGGTGAGATGGACAACGGGCTACGTCCACGAGTTCCTCGATGGCATGAAGGCCTTCGTCCAGGAGATCGCGAAGGCCATGAAGTGGGTCAAGAGAGCCAACTTGAATGTACAGGTGGAAAGGGTTGACCAGGAAACCCAGGTGTCAGTACCAAATGCTCGACTTGAGCGAGAACTCGAGGAAGCAGCGCACAAGTGCTTCCTGAAGCACTGAAGGACACCTACATAGAGGAACTCGAACGGGAGTTGGATCAGATGAAAGAGCATCTGAAAGATTTTCTCACTGAAAGGGAGATTGCAGAAAAGTACAGAACCAAGCTCGAAAGGAGACTCCAGAGCTTGAAGATGACCCCAAGCGGAAGGGTCTTGCACTTCTCCCCGACATGTGTCAGCATTTTGCTGCAGCACAAAATGTGCGGTTGTGCCACACCTGTCTAACCGAAGGAGGAGTGTCAGAAATCCATGGAGCAACAGTCAGTTAGACATGTGGGCATGACCATAAGGTTTACGAACGATTGGCCATAAAGGCCCAAGCCCAGTTTGCGGAAAAGCGCACCGCGCCGTTTCATAAGATTTTTTTGCACTCATAATCACTCATTGATCTCTCGTCATATTTCCACATTGCCCATTCGCTCGAGATATCTGTGTTTCATGCCTCGTCATGTTTGCAGACAGCGCAAACTCAGTGACAAACTCGGCAGGTCTTTGCCTTTATGAGTTTTGCTATGGAGGCAACGGTTCAAAGTGCGAAAGGAAAACACAACGCAATAGGATGCAATGTTTCTTAAACAAACGCCTACACAAAGGCTCAAAGCTTCGCAACTTTTCTTTCTGAATGCTGAGGTCTTCGTGCTGCCAAGGAGAAGAATTGCTGCGTTGTTTCCTGCGTGGCTCTATTTCTTGATGACCTTGCGCTTTTCGCACTGCATTTTCCTGTCGCTGCCCCAAGGTCTTGACGGTGTTCGTCCTCTTTTTTTCCTCTTTATGTGCTCTGGTTATGACTGGTTTCACCGTGGCAGAAACTTGGCAAAGCAGCATTTCAGCGACTCATTGGCAAGATGTCTACATTTATATACAATTCTTTAGCACCAAGGCCGCTGCCTTTGTCATAGTGACTGCCATGATTGGACTTCTCAGCCCTGTGCCCAGCACTCGTGCTACTGGCAATAATTTCCAAGTAGAACAGAGTTCTTACAGTAGTTGCTGGAAATGATTATCGACCTATTCTTCTCTCCCCTTTTCCAACTTGCCAGAAGCCAAGTTCATTGGATTGATCTTTGTGACATTTAACACACTGGCTTCTGGAGGTCCCGCATTGTTCCTGTGCGTGCAGCGACACAAAGCTCAAATCCAGGCCATCGCGTGGGTCTAGGTCTAAGTTGTTGCAAAACTGTTCAAATATCTTCAGCGCTACTGGCCTTGGTTGCCGTTGCCCTTTGTTGCATTTTCACTTTGGTGGCAACAAACACTTGCAACCACTTGTGTATACTTGTGTAATTAATCATCCTGAACTTGGACATGGCAGGGCTTGTTGCATCCAGACATTCGCTAGTTTGCAGGACATTTCAATATTAAATTCAATCTTTGGATGAGGATCCTGGCCGTTCTACCGGTCCCGCAAATGGTGATGACAAGTTTTAAGGGTTTCCCACTTTTCAGCAGCTGACTATCCCACGGCTTCGTGTCGAGGTGAAGGTTTTCCTCATACGAAACATGACTGGCATCATTTGGCACTTGCTTCACTTGCTTGAAACAAGAGCTTTTGCCTTTCTCGAGATTGCCCCCCGAAGCTTGTTGCCAGGGACCTTGGGACATTGCCCATGTAATGCCTTCGCTTGGACGATCTCAGCATCTCAAATAATGGAAGCTGTCATCATTAGTAAGTGCAGGCGGAAATCATGGACAGCAAGCAAATGATATGGCTTGCAGGGAGTTCTTCACGGCTAAAAGAGATCGCTTTTTCTTTTTTAATAGTTCTCTTTCTCTTGACTTGAAACAAGCGGCAGCTGCTGTCTCCATGCGTCGTAGTCTAGCAGCATGTCAGTACTTTCCATGTGCTGTGTATGTGCAGCTATACAGCCCTTGTTTCTGCAATACAATGAATTACTAAAATGCTGGTGATGTATCTTCTTGTCATGCTTGCGAGCTTAGCAATGAGAGTAGGAGTAGTAGTAGTGGTGGTAGTAGTAATTGGTAGTAATTGGTAGTAGTAGTAGTAGTAGTAGTAGTGGTGGTAGTAGTAGTAGTAGTAGTAGTAGTAGGTAGTAGTAGGTAGTAGTAGTAGTAGTAGTAGTAGTAGTAGTAGTAGTAGTAGTAGT